CTGCAGTCAAATGCTCTACCACTGAGCTATAGACCCTATGGTTTTTCCAACTTGGATTAGTCTTTGTGAGTTTAAAATTTGAGAAACAAGTCAAACAACTTGATAAGGACGTTTATACTGATGCACTGGGAAATCGTAACAAGGAATATTTTAGATAGTGGTATTATTTCATAAACAGAATAACACTTAACAAAAATGTTGGCCCGCCCTTTATAAAATGATTTACAGAAATGAAAATTCACTTAGCAAGATACCAACGTGATGCTAACATTTGATTTACTTGAGAGTTGATTCGTTGCGCTTTACAAATGAAACCCAGTTTAGTCCAGAGACCAAGCCTGCAACCAAAACCAAAACGGGAGAAGGGGTGAGTACCAGGATCTGTGATTCCCAATTTTCATTCCAACTGTGATTTGTGTTCTTGAATTTCTAACCTGGATTTTACCATCAGATGAACCAGCATAAAGCATTCCTCCATCCAGGTCTGAAGCCAAGGATGTAATCTTTGCATGCCCCTTGCTGCCCATTTTAATGGAAGCTACTCTGGTGACTCTTTCTTTCAACCAAACCTCGATGATCCCACATTTTGTAGCTGTAAATATGAAGTCATTGTTGACAGCAATTTGTTGGATGTCGAATCCCATTGGGAAGGATCCCATTACTGCCTTAGATGATTGGGAGAATACCTTCATAAACAGAATTAAATTTACTATTAGACTCCAGTTGTTTGCCCTCATAAAAATCGAGTTGCATTTGCATACCTTTCCTGCTATTCCATCAACTGCAGAACCACCAGCATAGAGAAGACCATCATCTACATGCAGGGAATTTATAGTTTGTTTCCCCAACAGTTTTCTTGTTCCTGAATAGAATGTGCTCCATGTAGAACTGCCCAGGTCGAGTTCCTGACAAATATTTGTTTAAAGACAATCAAGCTTCAACCTTATTGATTGGCAAACAGTTGCAAGAAGCAGAACAGGGAGCGAAAATTGTTCTTACCTGGATGCTGTAGCCAGAGCAACCACAGTATATCTTATTCCCTGTTATGGCTAGGCACTTTACATGTTTATTGAAAGTTATATGCTTTGGAGTCCCAGACCAATTATACACCTGCCCAAATGCCATTTTTTTTTAAAAGATTTTCTTATGGACTAAACCGCCTGGTATGCATAGTATGTTTTAACCAGAAGGCCGAGGTCCATGTTCAATGCACTTACCTTAACTCCATTTCCTTGAGAAATGAAACATGCAAATTTAGAATTGGCTGACAAATCATGCACTGCCTCTTTCACATCATGAACTTGAATACAGTGAATTTCTTCAGGTTTGAGTGCCCATATCTGCAGGTAAAAGTATATACAGCAGTTTGCAGCTGAGAATTTTTTCAGGAACCAAACTCAAGCACTTTATAGTATTAGCAAAGCTTGAAGGCTTGACACTAAAATACAATTAAGTCTTAGCCGTGAGGTGTTACAAGACGCACTAGTTTTCATCTGCTGTTTCTGCATCAGGACCATGTACTCAGCTAAAAGTATTGGAAGCAAATAAGCACTGAACTTAAAGGTAATTGACATATATTAGGAAGTCCAAAAATGAGTTGTATAGACTGTAGGAAGCTCCCTATGGTACCAAATTTTTTGTCTCTCAATTTGAGTTGTTCTTGTTTCTTTAGAGGCAGCTAAATTTTTTTATGTGAAAAATCAAAGCAAAGACTGGCTCTACTATATATCCAAGAGCCGTGTTCCAGGACAATGGATCTTCTATTCAGACGTTATCATCGTTACTTTATAGTTAGTTCTCTATTGAAGCTTTAAAAACTCAGTAACTAGGTAATTCTGTCGCCAAAAAAACAAATGAAGAAGAAACGAACAAGAGTTTAATAGAAACCAATGTCTACTCAGATATGAGATAATTTACCCGAATAGTTTTGTCCAAGGAGCCACTGTATAGTCTATCACCTGAAGATGGGACATACAAGCATGTAACAGCCTTCATGTGCTCACGAGCTTCTTGAACCAGCCTTAAACCCCTTTTCCCAGCATCCCAAACCTTGGGGCAAAAACATTTAAGCACAGTTATTGGGAGAAAGTAGTAAAATGTTGCTTATATTTCTTGCATGAATGCATGTTTGTTTGAAGGAAAGAGTCATATAGGCCTAGACCTTTATGGATCCGTCTGAGTGACTGGTTATCAAACAACCCTTCTGATGAAGCATACACAGAACCTCACCATTTGTGCTTGTATCTAGTTCTACGACGTCAGTACAACTCCACAACTCTGTCTATAAAGCAGAACATTATGTACAATCAGTAATCTGACATTTTATATTTTATATGGTGGAGGATATGAATGGTTCCGAACTTACTGCATTGACGGATGACAAATTCATTAAAGCTTTCTGTATGTCAGTGGCCACAACTGAATTCCTCTTGAGCTTTCTCAAAGTTTTGTAGATGCATTTAGCATACTTTCCCAATTCTTCAAGGGCAGCTAAGAATATGACACTTCAAGTTAACAATTATTTTTATGGAAATGGTCATGATAATGCCATTGTAAGATCTGCTAAAGTCACTAACCTAGATCACTGATAAAGGTTTTCAAAGCAAGGGCTGCCAGAATCTTCTCCTCCAAGTTCTTAGATGATTGGAGGACATTTATAAATTCATCGAGCAAAGATTCACGGGCAGCCTCTCTTACTCCAGTATCAGGCAGTGTTGAAAGCGTGTAAGTGAGCCATGTGGCAACGACAAGGCTTGACTTTGCCATTTTTAAGGAATTACTCTTGAAGCATTCTTCCAGAGCTTTGAAAATAGAACCTTTTTCATGGTTGCACAGGACAAAAGCCACTCTTCTCTCCCATAAACATGCAGCTTTCTCTTCCCCTTCCTACAGTGAACATTAAGATTCAGGATTGACCTAAAACAACGAGAAAGGGGAAACAAAAAGAATAGAGGATCATATCTCCACAAACATCTGTATTCAACGTAAATGCTAACCATGGTTTCATTCAAATCTTTTTCATCTTTTTGCAACAAGTTTGTCCTTATTAAAACATTGTAAGGCTGATCAAACCCTGCCATTTTGAGTAGCCAAGCTTCGATATAGGACTCCCCTGAAGAAGTAAAACGGCCTGAAAGAGATAGGAGTGCATCTAGAACTATCATTTGTTGGTTGGGGAAATCCTTTCTGTGGAGTGCTTCAATCAATGCCTCTACAGCTTCTTCCCTATAAATGCTCATCTTCCGTGGCTCAACCTGGAAAAATTCACACCTTTAAATCTATTTAAAATACCCTATTGCTACTAGTGAATATGAACAAGTTTTATGATAAATTTTAGTATTTTGGTTGATTTTAAGACAAACCAGGAGATCAAGCTGCAGAAGAAGAGTGGCAATGGCAGGTTGATGTTCCATGGGGGCCATCTGAAGATAGACAAGGAAAGTATGCATAGTGCTAAATGCTCCTTCAGTTCTAATTATGTCCAAGATCTGATTGCTGAGAGTTCTCCTGAAACACAGAAGAAGAATTTAGGCATAGATATTTGGAGGGGTATTAATTGGTAGCAATGTGCAGCACTTGGTGCTTCCATTCAAGATTCCCATGACTAAGGAGTACCAAATTGAATAAGTTTCTATACCATATTCTAGGCTCCAAAGAAGGTATCATTTAGCAAAGTAGCAAAAGAATTATGGAACCTAAAGGGATTAGAAAGTACATTTGTGACACTAATTTTGATCAGTGAAGTTGAAATATACTGTTTTAAATAGAGGCAGAGCCAAGATCACTTCCTTGTAGGGCCAAGACTTTATTTCTTAATGTTTTCATGACTCCACAACTCCTTCCAAATTCTCTACCAAAATAATGTATTTCTCATATAAGAAGTGAAGATGAAATGTGTAAAGTAAAAGATGAGTTCAAATACCTATTCAGCTGAACCAATTCGAACAAAAAATCTATGCATATGCCTCGTATACTATCATTGCCAGCATGAAATAACTCAAGAACATAAGAAAGCTCAATTCCAGTTGCTATCAGGTTCCTGCAACTTTTATCAACTCTCATACAACACAGGAGTATGGAAATAATAGACCTCCTTATGTCCATCCTATCCAGACACTTGACCAGGCGAGGAATTCCATTTTCAGAAATTACAATTAAGGCATTGAAGGACCTACTTTTTTCATCCCCACCCATCAATATTTGTTCAAGCATTGCTATAGCAGCATCTGAGGGTTCCATTACTGACGGAAGATCATCCGATTCTTCATTTTTGTGCAGTACTATCTGGACAAGGGAGGGGACAAGGTCATGAGATGAAAGCTGAGCGAATGCTGGCCTCAGTTGGTATATAAGAACAGCAGCCTCAGCTAGGCCATTCTTTAGCAGAGCAGCCAAACAATCAAAATCAGAATCTACACTGGTCAACGTCTCCCCAACATTTTCATTAGTGAAAATTAGCTCTGAAAGGATGTATATTGATGTTCTGAGAACTTCTCTGTCCAAAGAAGCAGACAATATCTCCACAAACCCATTAACAATTGTTGGTTTGGATAAATAAGAATGAACTGCGGCATCACCCTTTGACTCCTTCCATAATCTAGCAATTGCCAGTACTGCTGCTTCACATTCTTGTAAATTGTTTGAAGTACAAAGACATGACAAAAAAGGTTTTAGTCCATTGATAATTGTCTCAACAGCAGCTTGAGATATCACACTGGTCGGTGATGTAGCTACTGCTGCTTGTATAAATCTTTTGCTCCTTTGGTTAACATAATCATCTATACTTTTGCAACCAGGGACTTTGGATGATTTGGGTGATGGGGAAACCAATACAATTTCTTTCCCTAAGGGAGAGCTGAATGAATTCCTCTGTGTTTCAGAGTATGAAAATTCCTGAGCAAGTTCAGGATGCTGCTCTTTCCAAGATGTTATAAGCCTCTTCAAAACATAGTTTGTCTTAGGCAGTGCACTTGAAGAGAGAGGTTGCCGAGTAATGGGGCATGTTGTGTTCCCTCTATTTAGCCATTCTTCAATTGCTTTTCTTTCATATGTCTGACCTGTTTCCAGTGTAACAGGGTCATTGAAAATCTGTCCCGTGATGGGGCAGACAAAATCTTTTGGTGGTCTTGGCTGCGGTGTCAGCTTCTCAGATAAGGGGAGGGAAACACAGCTGTGGTTACCTTCATTGCTTTCATTTTGAGAACTGCAACATGAAATGAATATGAATGTCACGAGAAAAGTGCTAATGAATCCTTGGTAGAGGAAAAACAAAGATAAATGCTAACGTTAATGAGGAAAGACATGTTTGTACCCATGTTCCAATGTTTGGATATTCACATTATCGTAACTCATACTACGAGCTCGACCACGGTTCTTCCTACAACTTTTCTGCATCTCCTGAATTTCCAAGTTAATGTCAGTAAAAGTTAAACATTTCAACTTCAGATGCATTAAGAAGAAAACAAATGAAGCGAAGTGACTTTGGTATGTGAGAAACATACTATCACTCCACCATCCGACTCTGCTGAGCTTATGCTGTGGTCATTACTCTTGCATGGCGAGATAGGCAAAGAGGTAGGATCACTAGAATCTGTGATGCGGCAGGATAAAAGACGCAATATAGATTTTGATTCCTTTCTGGAATTCACTTCAGGTTTCGGAGATGAATTTTTAGAGGAAGAGGTTTTGGGGGAGTCTACAGGTGAAAAGATTGAGGGGGAATGTGTTCGATTCCTAAGTTTTGTGGGTTGCAGAGTTGATCCGATTTCCACATCCTTGGTCATTTTCATCCCTTTGCTAGATTGAACCTCATTACTTTGGTCCCCATAGTCAATAGAAGCATCACTGGGCTCATACTCAGAATCATCTTCATTTTCCTCAGGCACACCATCCTGCCATCATAGAGCAGAGATAGGGAATATGTCATTAAAAGTTCACAAAGCCTGTGGAAAGTTTTGAGTTCCGAATATTTATCCAGGGGGGAGAGAGAAGGGAAATACACATTCAAAGTTCAGCCTTACGTGAGGATCCCATGCAGCAGATTCATCCATATTCTCTGAGTAGACTGAAGTTGCACTCATCATTCTGCTAGAACCAAATGTCCAATGAACATTGTAAGAACTTCAATGTCTAAATCCTTCTCCCTAAAATTGTAACCAAGTTTCTTTCTAATAACTTTCTATAGAATTGAAGCTAACCTGTTGTTTCCTTCTCTTCTGCCATGTTTAGATTTGAGAACTGGAGAGAAGCCGGCACTTTTAGGCAATATAGGACCAAATTTTACATAATCAGGGATTGACCGGCTCACCTCATGTAGAGGAGTCATTGGTGGCTCAGCAATCGGTAACATAGGAGCCATTACTTTCTTGCTAGCAGTTGAATCAGAATTCATACAGTCCTTATAGTATTTAGCAAACAACCGCGTATTCTCATCTAATGATTCTCCGTAAAGTTGCTCCAATTTCTTCAGTTTCTCAACTTGGTCTGGCCTCATGGAGAAAATCAAAGATTCATTGAAGAATTGATCAAAATCAGCAGTAAATGACAGATCAGAAGAATCAGGGATTACTTCCATCATAAGCCTATGCCTAGCTTCTGAATACCACCCAAGGATTGAGCTCATGTGTGGGAGGAACAGCTCTTTCCAAAGTTCAGGAGCAAAATCAATCCTTGCAAAAAAGGGATCGATAATAAACATCTGAAGAATATGAAGAACTGGATTATGAACATTGTTACGCAGTTTCCAAAGGTAGGACAGGTTTAAATGAGCCCATGCAGAGAGGTAGGAATTGGGGACACCAGCAGTTTTCTGATCAGAAGTCAGCATGGCACAAACTTGAAGCATCTTCTCTGCATAGTCCAACCGTGCATGCTTGGTTTCCACATTCGACGTGTTGATAGCTTCTTCAAGGGCTTCAATCCCCCAATCTAAGTTTGCTAGTACAGCTTGATCAGAGTACCGAACCTCCATATCCTTGTCTGTGCTTCCATCCTCGGCTGCCAATCTCTCTGCACACTGTTCTTTGTGCTGGATTCTCTGCTCTTTATTGATCAACCGATCTTGTGTAAAACTTCCCACAGTTGTAATCAATGTCCTCACAATATCTTTCTGGTCCATCACAAACCTATAGTTTCCAGCCATCTTTCCTAGGCCTCTAGACTCCTTACTCAAAAGTGCAGGACTAGTACATCAAGTCTCCATTTTCATCAACAAAAATACTTCAGAAGGTGAAAAAATGTAGAAAATAAAAGATATATTAGGATTGAATTAAACAAAAAGTCCTCCATTCCCTTTGACTTAAACATGACACTAACAAAAACAAATAAACTTTGTGCAGAACTGCTTACCTTGTTGAAGAAGTAACCATCAAGACGAAGACTATGAATCCACAATTTTGTCTTCAGGTACTGGTATTTCGAGATGAAGAATTATTCTTCGTCAAGTTCAGAGGATTAGCAAGAGAGGGCCGGCCTCTAAATTACTAGGTGGCTGTAGCTAAAGCCGGCTTTGGCAGTTGTTGAATGATGATCAAAGCATATGGTGGACTTAGCATTTATATATTACCAAGTCACTATTATAAGCATATAAAATATTACAAACCAACAATTTTTTAAACTCTTTCAGGTGGCAGATTTCATGTCCTTTTCAGTTTGGTTTTGCTTCTTAGACTCTCTTTTGGAATTAATTATGTCTTTTTGTGGAATATTACTGATTTGATTGCTAGCTAGGTTTACCAAGAATGGATTGATGGAAGAAGCACCAAGCATTTGATGATCTGATAGCTTTCCATCTTCCAATTTTGAACTCAATATGTTATTCTTTGAGTTTTCTTTTAATGTTCTTATTGCAAATTTAATCTTATGAAGAAATTTAATTTAATAATGATATAAAATTTAGAGATTTTCAAATTATATATATGTGTGTGTGCGTGTGCGTGTTTAATCTCTAAAAAAAGTTTTTTTGAATTATTTTTTATAAATTAATAATGGTATAAAAAAATATTACCAATTATTAATTTATTTGTTCCACTAATTTTTTATTTTTTAAAAAATAATTTAATAAGGTATATGCCAGGCCCTAACCCTTAAAAGTGAATGAGATAATTATCGATTAGCTTATTGCATCTAAACACCTTTGCAATTGCATAGCACTCAAATGGGCCTATTATACTTTCAAAAGCCCATAAAACACAGTTAATGGCCCATGACTCATGATCCATGGCCCAAGTCTCAGAGCATAGCACTGGTTCCTTTCAATTGATTTTTTTTTACGCCCATGAATTACTTTGTTTTCTGTTCTTATCAATACAAGAAATTAATTTAATCCAAATACGGCGAGGTGCCATTATATTTTTCTTTGATTTAATTTATATTATTAACCTATTTGGTAATCGTTTACTTTTTATTGGGCATTTCGTACTTAAATAATAATTCAAGGACTCAAATAAAAACAAATACATATTAAAAAGCTTATGTATAGGTTAGGGCAAAGTGTAATGTCTTTCCCCATTTTTATAAGAACAATAACTCTTATTATTAATAGATGTTATGTTATATATATTTATTCTTTAGATGCCTTTGATAATTTGGAAGGAATGTTTGAATCTGAACATAATTGTAATTTATATATTTAAAATCAAGGTTCATGGTTTAGAAGTGAGGTTAACGAGATAGTTTTGGCATTATAAGTACAAGGATTATGGAGATGATCGTATAAAATAAGATAAGAAAGTAGATTAGATTAAATAATATAATTTATTGTATGTTTGGTGTGCGTAAGAATTACGAGTAAGATGAGATGGGTTTTATTTTATATTATGTTATATATATATATACATAATTAAAGATAAGATAAGATGATTTCTTTTTATCGGTCAAAATTATCTTTCCCTAAGTAAATATAATTTAAGTTTATAATTTTTTAGAGGATTGAGTCATCTTATATTAAAAGGATGATTAATTCTATCTGCAAAGGAATCCGTCCTTTCTAAGCTTACACCAAAAATAGGATAAGGTGAATATTCATTCCCATCAGCTTACACAGCAAACGCGCCCTTAAGCCAACCGCTAAAAATTTCAACATCTGGTTGTCCCCTTGTTTAATTTCCTAATTGCCCCAACTTAAAAAACTAATCAAACTATTATCTATCATGTTGACAGGCAAGAACATTATTTTAGACCTATCTTTAACCAACAATAATAAGTAGGTCACGGCCTTGAATCTCATATTAAAGATAATATGTGATCTCAACAGAAAGTCATAAAATTTTGAATTTTGAATCTCACATCAAAGAGAATACATGACTAGCATGAAAAACCAAAAAACCCATGTCCAAGAGAGTTACTATAAAAAAATTAAAGAAAAGATATCATGGTTTTAAAGGGGAGTCATGAATCTCATATTAATTGTTTATTAGAATGATATTTGACATTTAAAGATTCACTTCACCCTTAATTTGAAACGGATAATATCTCATAAGATTACTCCAAATATTAATAATGTATCAATAAAAGAAAATGGATCCTTCCTAAATTTCATATTATAAAAAAGCTCCTTGGTTATGGTCCCAGGCTGTTTGGCCATTTTAAAAGTATAATACCTCACGAGTATAATACCTCACATGAGTTGGTTTAGCTTTGACTCTGACATGACATGGATAAACAAGCCGAGTAAAGCTGGCCAAACTTCCCAACGCCTTTTGACTAAAACAAGAAAACTCCTCCACAATAAGGTCCCCGTCCAACATGATGGGCGGTCGGAACTTGGAACCTAGCCACAAGTATGGAGCAAAAGCCAAAGATAGGGGCTCTGCTGCATGGGAAACACTTGAATTGGATTGCAGGTGAATTTATTGCTTTTCCATCAACCACACAACCAACCCCAGCGCCCAATATATACCATATTGATCCAGCTCGGATTGTCGTTTTCAGGTGATTGTTACAAACTTTCATTCACAGTTTTATTCCCAGTTTTTCTTTCTTTCATACAAGTGTAGCAAAGTTGACAGATTAATCTTGGTTTTGGTCTTGATGGATGGCCCGATTCCAACCTTCCCAAAGCATCAACTCGTGCCTGTCTTAGCCAAATTAATTTCTCGATCATCTTTTCAAGATGAAATTGCCAACTTGGTTAGTAACCGTGAACCCCTTTAGACGTTGGGGATGGGATAAGAATCACATGTTGGGGTAGGTTTTATACTTAAAACATTGATGTTAATGCCTTTCATTGGACTTAATTCAATCAAGCCCTACCAATTCATGGGAATAACCAAGGGGTGGCATGTGGTGACGGCCGCCACCTCTCAATTTTTAATTTTCTTTTTTATTATAGGTATAAAATTTTATAAATATAATATTATTATTTTTATAATTACTTTTTAATCACTTCTTATTTAAAATCTTGAATTTATCACTATCTACTACATTGTGAAGTAAATCTGTTAATACATCAAATATTAATTTATAATATAAATTATAATTATAATTATAGCATCAATGTCATTGTCATGTTTCCATTACTTGAGAGTATACATTTCGAAAGTAAATACGCTAGTACCCACATATTATTCCAATGAAATGTGATATATAGATATTACTCTTGTTCTCAATCTTGAGAGATAATAAAATTTATGATTTTTTTTGGTGAAAATTTTAAAAAGTAAGTGCGTTAATTTACAAGTCGCATCTTAATTTATATTTTGTTCTGTTAAATTAAATTTGAGACAACAAAATTAAATTCAAAAATAGTACTAACATTAATATTTTTGGTACCATTGAGCAGAGATAAGAAGATAGAACATGCTTGTGTGATGAGAATAATTAGTTCCGAAGAGTGTTTGAAAAGCAAACCCAAAAACAAAAAATAAATACTTGAAAAGGACAAGAAAGCCGCCCCATATGGGTAGGACAATGCCAAGTGACAACAAGTAAGAAGAACAAAATAAATATCTTTGTCTTTCCCCTGTTTTAACTCTATTGTCATGGAATGACCCCTTCTCTGTTTTTGACTTTTTCCCATCCTAAAAATAGACATTTTCACACAAGAAACAACCGACATATATATAAATATATAAAGGGAAATGTTCAAGTAGTTTAATGGACATAATTATGAGTGAGCAAATTTACAAGCATAAGGTAATAAAATAGAGTCAAGATATATAATTTTTATATACGATCATGTCATCAAATCTTGACACCTCATTAATAAAGTATCGAAATTTGATAATTTAATAATATATAGAAACTACGTACTATCAATACATCAAATATTTTTCCTTAATTTATGCCTTTGCGTTACTTGTCCTTAAACCCTATTGTAAAACATGCATTCATTGTTGACATCAGGACATGGTGAAATGTTTTTCCCCAATTCCAAACAAGTTGAAACATCATGTACATAGTGTAGGTTTCTCATAATTCTTTTCCTTGCTACAATATTATTTATATCTCAATTTTCCCAATATACTCATCAAATTCAAAGTTCAGCTTGACTTGATAGTTATTTTTTCCATAATTTGATTTTAAGTAGCAAAAAAACTATATCTTTACAAATGGTTATATTTCAAATTTGATTATGGTAGCAAAATAAGAGGTTTTATATGAAATAATTAGGTAAGTGTAATTCAATTGTATCATGCAAAGGAAACAAAAAACAAAACAAAGGCCACCTTTCTTTGAATAAGTTGAAGCTTGAAGAAAAGTACAAAACTATGCATTAAATGCCCACCATTCATGGTAAGCTTTTAATTCAATGGTTAGTATATTTCTTTCAGAGAAGGGCTCAAGATATTTTCAAAAGAAAAAATAAAATAAAAATTTATCATAGCAATCATCAAAAAAAAAAAAAAGTCAAAAGTGTTTACAGAATTATAACCATTGTATAGATTATAAGTTAAATCGATGTAATTTTGTTATATTACAATATTATTAAGTTACGTAATCATATGCGGTTAGATTAGGATTAAAATACTGTTAGTTTAATTTCCTCATAAATCATTAAAAATCACTTGTGTAGATATAACTCATTAATCTTCTTGTAAATTAAATAATTCAAAATTCAAAATTCAAAATTTCTCTTTTCATAACAAAGCAACAAAGCACTTTTGCTGATATTATTGATGTACACCCAAGTTTATGTAATTCTTAGTACAATCGTTTTCCTCTTCCCAAAAATTATATATTTATAGTAATGAGTACATATTTCATCAATAACTCTTAAAGAATGTACACTCCCAATATAAATAGCCCCTACTCCCAATCCCAAAAAAATGATCTAATTTTGATTTTATTATTCCAAATCCATTTTTTATTTTAAGATATTTTCCCATTTAAATCTATTTTATTTCAAGATCAATATTCGGGTTTTTTTTTGTTATATATTAATAAAAATAATTTAGAATAAAAACTTTGAAATAATTTTTCTTTTCTAAAGAATTTCGGAGATAGCGGCTAAGGTGGCCATTTATTTAAGTTATATATATACATTGAATTATAAAATTAATGATGTTTGGTGTGAACAAACAAACTTTAATTAAGCAAGAAAACTTGAGAAACCCCTTCATAAAAAAATAAAGTGATTTCTAAAGCTGAATATTAAACCCTAACTTCCAACCCAATAAAGGAAAAATAAATGGAAAAGGTTTTGAATGAATCATAACTGAAATAATGAAAGGTTAATAAAGGTGCATTAGGGTGCTTTAATTGTCAAGCCAAATGGACAATTTATTTCTTCATGGTTAAGGTAGAAAAAGGGTGCATGCATCTATGGCCTATAGAAACTTGACACTCAATAATTATTTATCAAATAAATTCATATTAACTTAATGTTTTATACAAAAAGTAGTAATAACATTATCTTTTACAAGACGATCTAATATCAATATTTAAATTTATATTTATATTCGATGTACTATTAATATATAATTTAGATTTTATATACTATTAATGAATTAAATATTACAATATTGTTAAAAAATAAATTTAATAGTTGAAAACTATAAAAATAAATATCCATTATTTAAAAAATTTATAAAATGTTGTGATATTATATAAATATTATACAACAATAGTATGCCAAATGTAAACCTTTTTAAATTTCGAATAACTTACAAATAGGGGCAGAGCTAACATGGCGGCCACCACCACGTAGCTTTTAAGTTTTTAATAAAATATTATGTTTTAGTTTAATTTTAATTAAAAAATAATTAATTTAAATTTAAATTAAATTATTAATTCGATAAATAATTTTGTATAATTACATTTTAACCACTTATCATGTAAAATTTTAAATTCGTAATTGCTTACGAGATCTTTTATCACTTGAATTAAGTATTAAACATTTCTCCTTTTGGGTACAATTAGCAAGAAAATTGAAAAAGAAAATGTATCCAAATTATTTGCTTGGAGACGAAAGGGGCATAAACTTGGAAAGTAGCATGTACCCAGCCTGCCATGGATGGGTATAGTTGATGGGTCGTTGAGAGTATTAACTGCTCTCCACCGACAAAGATTTATTACAGCCTCGTAAGTACCCAGAAGCAACACTGACCACCTACACATGGCCGAACCCATAAATACTCATGCACTCCTTCCCCTTTTTAGTCAATGTTCGTCGTCTCATCTTTGTTTTTCATCATTCTTTGTTCTTACTTTTTGTTTTTTTTCCTCCCCTCTTAGCTGAGGAAACAAAGAGAATCTTTCCTCCTTTGTCTCTGTCTCGTCAGTTAATCGTATTGCTCATCGGGTCTCAAAGTTTCGGAGCTTGGTATTGCGCCCTTTTTTGAGTGGTTTTTTGAATTAGTTGAAACAATGGTTGGGATCTTCTCGTTGGTGACAGGGTGGCCAGGACCAAGCGGCTTTGGTTCAGCTTCCACTGCGGAAAGGTTACCGAGGGAATTGATGGAAGCAACCTAACTGCTATAATAACCGGTCAGCTCCAACGTTTTCCTTTTAATGGAAGCAACCTGACCAGTACAAGTTTCATGCATTTGCCTTTCCTGTTACTTTTTGCCATTTGCTGGTAGCCTGGTACTCTTAGGCTTAGCTATAGGCTTTTGTTTTTTTGGTAGGGAAAGATGAAAATAATAATACTACAACGAGAAAAGTACAGTTTCATTAATGTACAATTCATATCTTTTACATAACCATTTGAACGCAAAGCGTTTGTTCTTCTTCGGGAACTGACTTTTGCAACCTTATTTGCATTGTTTTTAATCTTGTGTGAACTGGGTTTATGACTTTATCAGCATTTCTTTGCCTCTCAGTTTGTACTACGATATTTCTTACATTTTTGCTTTGACTTTTGCTCATGAGAAGTTGCATATCCTGGCTTCACCCTGTCGTCCAACGTCACTTCACCTATCACTTCCAACAAATGACATGTTGTTTAAACTTCCAACATCTGCATGTTCTATGTTACAGTGACTCTGAACTTAAGCAGTCCAAGTATCCTCTGTAACTTTCCCTTGTTTATCATTTCTTTCCCTGTTCTTTTGGCCTTTTCACCATCGTTTTTCATCTGCCAAGAGTCTGTTACAGTCACAAGTTGTCTCCTGTTACTTGCAAAGACCTTGAAGCCATCTCATTGGGATATCAATATGATTCAACATTTAAAACCAGATAATTCATAAAAACATAGAAAAAGTGTAATTGTTAAAAGGGTTTTGTAAATGCAGGTGGAGCGAGTGGAATTGGGCTGGAGACTTCAAGGGTATTGGCTCTTCGCAAAGTCCATGTCGTCATTGCTGCCCGGAACTTGAAAGCTGCCAATGAAGCAAAGAAAAGTATCCTAACAGAGGATGAAACCGTCCGTATAGATGTTCTGGAGCTCGATCTTTGCTCTATCAAGTCTATTAGAGCATTCGCTGACAATTTCCTCGCTCTTAATCTTCCTCTCAATATCTTAATGTAATCTCTCTCTTTCTCTCTCTCTTAAAGCCATGCACACCCATACTTTTAAATTTCATTTATTTGTTGGTTTTAAGGAATCAGTAACAAGATTTTACAATGCCTCTCAGAAACAATGCTGGGATCATGTTCTGTCCCTTTCAGCTTTCTCAAGATGGAATTGAGGTGCAGTTTGCAACTAATCATATTGGTGGGCACTAATAAATTACACTAATCATACATTCATTTCAGTAATCCAAGATTATCCTTAATGCCTTTTTTTGTTTTGATTGCATTTACTTTTCCAGGGCACTTCCTCTTAACAAACCTTCTGTTAGACAATATGAAGAACACAGCTAAAGCTACTGGTATTCAGGGGAGGATTGTTATCTTGTCATCAATAGCCCACAGCCACTGTTATGAAAATGGGATCCTATTTGATAAGATCAGTGAGAAATCTGGGTATGTTAAAACATTTTCAATAATATAGATTTATTCTATGAATTTTGCTAAAGCTTTTCTTTCCATAATCAGCTAATGATTGTTCTGTTTTTTTTTTTGTTTTTTACTTTCAGTTACAATGACAAAAAAGCATATGGGCAGTCGAAATTAGCAAACATATTACATGCCAATGAACTCTCTCGTCGATTGCAGGTAGAAAGTGATCCTACAGTTTAAACCCCACCTCTGTGTCAGGAAACTCATACCATGTTTTATTTTTAAACCAAAACCGGCAAAAAGTTGATGGTCCTAGATTAATTACTCGATACAATAAATGACCATTAATTAGGCTACAAAGTTGGTGAACATCTAAGCTTGAACTGTTGTGTAGGAGGAAGGTGTGAACATCACAGTCAATTCGGTGCACCCAGGATTGATTATGACGCCTCTCTTCAGGCACTCTGCAATTTTAATGAGTATGTTTACACTCCGAAAGACAAAACTCTTTTAACTGTATAACACTACTTCTTTAACCACTTACCTTACTCTGTTACGGGCTTCTTGTGCAGATATCTTGAAGTTCTTCAGTTTCTTCCTCTGGAAGAATGTACCCCAGGTAATTTCTTCCTGCATCCATCCGTGGAATGGATTTCCTACATCAAAATGAAACAATCTTCAACTGATTTCTTCTCCTGGTTTTCAGGGGGCAGCTACAACCTGCTACGTCGTGCTCCACCCAAGCCTGAAGGGAGTGACGGGGAAGTACTTTGCGGACTGCAATGAGATGACACCAAGTTCATATGCTAGAGACGAAGCGTTGGCGAAGCAACTATGGGACTTCAGCAACCAATTGATTCACTCTGTGTTAAAACTTTGATCAAACCAGCAGCTCAATCAAGACAGAAGAAGCCTAGGTTGTCCTATTCCTATACGTTGGAACAGTTACGGTTGCCCTATTCCTTGGTCTCCTGGTGTTTAAAGTTTGCCATTCTAAATTTATTTAGTAGTAATACGGGTTCTCCACCTTGGCATGGGTGGGATGATTATCACTATGTTGAAGCATGAATTATAGTAGAAATAAAAAGCTTCATGCATTTGTTCATTTTCATGTTTCCTAGGAATAAAATCCTTTGCATATTTCTTGATATTACTCCAATTTGCAATTCATCCGAATTACTTATTTCTATCATTAAGTACAAAGGCAAAAAGATGTGAACTGTAACTGTGTTAAGCGAACCTAAATAAGCCAAAATTAATGGGTCTCGTCGAATTCCCACAAGCCCATGCCACGGACCACCCAAGCCGACCCAGTAACGACGACAGCAGCGAAAACCGGGGGCACGATCCAGTCAATTTTGGACCTACGTACAAGGTGATCCGGCAGGCACAGTTTCGCTCCCGGCACGTCCGTCGGAACTACAACGGACCCCTCTATCCCGCACTCTTTCGAAAACGCGGATGACTGAGATATGGCGGAGACAAACGCAACCTCCGGCGAGAACGATGCGATCGCCACCACCGCCGTTAAGAGAACGGTCCACGTGGCAGCGTAGAGTAGCACTGGCCACCGTAGGGAGAGGCGATGAAGCAGGGATGTGAAAAGGGCGAGCAGCATATTTGAAAGAGACTATGGAAGCACTGTTACAGGCTAAAATGGGTTTTTATAAAGGAAAAGAGAGTCGGGAGATAGAGAGGGGACCTAACTTCCAACTACTTTCTAGTTGGGATTGGCAGGGTTTCATTGGGTGAAACGTGTGGAGAAGATGAAAGAGACCAACTCCAAGAATGTTTTGACTTACGAGATCGAGCTTTTGTGCTTTTGTTTTCGGGGTTACCGTTCGGTTTTGGGGTTTGGTTGGAGACAGGAGAACAACTCCATGACCAAGGGAGAAAACATACACGTCAGGATATAACAGGAAAGCAGTTCCATGGTTCGAGTCTAGTTCTCCAAAACTGGAAAATAATTTAACACTGCACTTGCATTTCAGAACTATAAATTAATATCGGAAACTAGACTTGGAATCGGACTGGATATTACAATTACAAGCACAGCTGATATGAAGTTTTCTCATTCTTGAAGAAACATGCATTGATTACTCCATAGCTGGTGGAAATATCACCGAGCTGGGGCTAAGAGAATGCTTTCTCTACCTTTACAGTAAGGAATAGGAACGAAACCAATGAAACGATAATTGCGACAAGCATGATCATCACCATTGTCTGCAATGTGATAGCCGGGCTCAAAAAGAACACAACTGCAATGGCGGAACTCTGCCACACCTTGAGCTGTGCAAATGCTCCTTCCTGTTCTCGGAATTCAATATATTCATTTGTGATTAGAGATTTGAATTATGGACTGAGTTTTTGGCCAAACCGATAGCTTGACGCTTAAGGAAAGTTCTGAAGATATTGAGAAGTTTAGACCAAATATTACCCTACCGTGTCATGCTTAAAAAGTAGAGCAAGCAAAGCACTAAGCTGTGTATTCAATACGCCATCACCAATGCCCAGTAAAGCTGCCATGAGAAGCGGGTATACTATGCCAAGCACTCCACTCGTTGCGCTAAATCATGGAAAATAACCAGGATTGGGTAGAACAGAAAACAAAAATCAATGGAAGTTAAATATAAAAAGCTTTATAAGAATGCATTGCACTAACCTGTATTTTAGCAAAAGCCAGAGGAATATCACTGCCTGAAAAAAAGCTCCCCCGCAAACTATGAAAGTTATTGACTTGAGACCAGAAGTGAGTCGACCAGCCGCCAGTGAACACTAACACAAGTTTTACCAACAAGATAAGAGTAGACAATAAAGCATCCAACGTGCTTTATACCAATATGTTTTATTCAGGATTCCACAATAATTCTGTGCTTAATGAGTGCATGGATATCAAGATTTTACCAGACTTTGTAAGACTAAAGTGAGCGCCGCCATATATATGAAGAAAACTTACTTGAATAAGTGAAATGTTCTCTTAATGGAGGCAAATGGATGATTATATCTATCAGAGCGAAAAACATAGCTATAGTCCTATAGTGAAGAGTGTTGACAAAAACGATCATGAGATTTTGAGAATTTATATATTTTTCACTAAGCTTAAGTGCAAAAGTTGATTGTTTCGCACACTATTTCTTGTCAAGTAAAACTAATTACTAATAACTAATCATTTCTCAACTTTAAGTACTTACAATTGCATCCAAAGCCCCATAAACTGCCATTGCACCACCCACTCCAGCCTCTCCAAGAATTGGGTTCACAACATCCTTGGTGTAATCAGCCCTAAAATTGCAAAAATATCTCTTATTACGAAGATAGATAGAATTCTTTCTCCTAAAGAAGGCATAGCTTGGAACAAATTGCAGTAATGGCCTCAAAATGCAATACCATACAAATGCTTGCTGCAATCCTGAATAAGCAATAAGAGGAATGATCAACAGCATCCGTATGTCAAGCAAAGGAGTGATAACTGACTTCAACCGAGATACCACAGCAGAAGAAAAACTGACAGAAGAATCTGCTGATACCTTCTCTTCTTTGTCATTAATTTTACATAGGAAACACATAAGTATGGTACCTAATGTCATACTACAAAGAAACACGATGAACAGCAAAGTTGTGTTGCCGGAACTTCCTTCCTACAGTTTAAGAATAACTTATCAGCAGCTGCTAAACATTTTAAAAAGGAAAGAAAACTATAAACCCAAGCCAAAAGATCCATGCCATCAAATATTATGACTGAATCAAATCCCATGTTGCTTGACGTTTTTGTTTTGGGACATTGGAAGAGGTGGTGTCTGCATAATTATGTAAAGAATGAATCAGTTCTTCAAAGAGAAGTTTGGAGGTAAGTAAAAGATCAGGCATATCCGGGAGCAATTAGCCAATGCTGGAATGCTTTTTCCACCCCTATATTACACAGAACACCATCTTCCAGACCACAAAGGTATTATAAAATCTTTTGGTAAATAAAACAGATAAGGAAAAAGAATTTTTCATAGAGTAACCAGAGGCAACACATACCGCTCCATTTTGCAACACTGCAAGCGTAATAAGATTTCCAACAAACTGCAAATTTTAGGAAAATCAAATTGGGGTAAAAGAATTAATATTTACAACCTCATCATAGCAATTTAGAGCTATTCAACAATGAGAGTTATTCTGACTAACAGAAGTGAAAAATAATTAGACAGTCACAGCAGAGATCTATGGTCACCTGGTGAAGAGCAAACATTGCCCAAAATTCCCCATTGAAGTTACCAATCACGGTTGCTTCATGTAAGTTGGTATCTCTGGCATGACTGCGTGCAATGGAAGTAAGATATGTCCCCTGATAAACCAAAATGGTTTAAGGATTGAAAATCTATCAATACCATCATTAAGAAAGAAAGATAAAATAAACTTAATGACTCTAAAACCTACACATACCTCCCCGACCCATATTATTGAAGCCGCAAAACCAAGGTACACAGAAACCGGTACCATGGTATACCTACAACAATAAGTTAAATTGATGTTCAATTCCAAAGTTTCATCAGAACACGATTAATACATGGTATGGAAACATGAGAATACAAACAATGAATAAAATTAAAGTGGGATTTGAACAAACATGATTTATCGAGTATTGCATGTATTAAAACAAAAAATTCACAAGATTCAGTTGTTCATTTCAACAATAACATTCAAAAACTGAAAAACAACTAACTTTTAGTTTCGGTTTATACCACCAAAGTGAGAGAACAAACAGTGATTACCATGTAGGCTTCAAATTTGCAGCTATGTACAACCAATAACCAGTAGTCCCCAGAACCACAGCATTCTTCGACCCCAGTACTCGAACCACCAACGATGCAAACAACGAGAAGAACGCAAAAGATACATACAGTATCCCGAGCGACACCGTTCCCAAGTTTCCTTCCTAAAACCAAAAGAAAAAAAGGAGAAAAATTCGAACTTCAAAATTTTTATAATCATGGAAAACTATAAAAGTCTACTAAACTTTTGGGAATTTCATTGCAGTCAGTTTTCTCAGCAACCAAACAGGTGGAAGAAAATTCAATCGATTGAATAACAATGGAAGGAGTAGGAGAAACTCACAGCATTAACAGTAGTCTCCAAATTCTGAGCAGCACCATAAGCAAGGAAGACCAACAAGAAGGCACCGCTCAAAATATGAACATCTCTCGTTCGGGTTTTCGGAGTCTCACTTTGCGAAATACCAGCAACCAGTGGCGCCTCCTCGTCGTGAGTATCCATCGATTCGATTGCCATTAACTTCTAATTTTTCTCCAGGCGATTTAAACCCCTAGAATTCGAGAGAGAATCCAAGAGAGTGCGGTCAAAAGAAATGGGGAGAGTGCCGGCTTGAAGCTTGAGGAGTTAAGGACATATGGAAACAGCTCGGAGAGTTTTAAATTAATGTAATTGGCTGAGGGCCCGTTCGGTTGGTTAGGAACTGTACGAAAAGGAAGGCAAAAGTTGAAGGATTCTGAATATTCTTATGACAAATTTGGTTTCGCATCTTTCCGAAAGGAATCAAAAGTCTTCGAATGAATCGACGGTGATGACATCCGATGCTAAAACGGACGGCGATGGCAGCAGAACACGACGAATTTTTCTTTTCTTTGATTGGGTGTCCAGCGTCATGATGCACATGGGGACAACTTTGGTTACAAATTCAAGCATTTGTTTATTATTAAAATGATGGTCTCTTGCAACAAAACATAACTACCCAATGGATTCATGGTTATGTCTTTGGGTTTCTGCCTGCATCCCTTCCGCAATTGGAAATGGTAGTAAGAGCTAAGATGAGGTGAATTTCATATGGAAATTTTGGCCATTCTTGCAGCAAATCAGCTTTACACTAGTTGTTGAAGAGTACAATATGCATATCTCACCTGGTAAATTTCTCAAATTACAGACAGTACAAGGGAAAACAAAAGCGATTAATGCCTAGAGCAACATGCCCTCTGTACTAGAATCCTAAACATTGCTTTATAACATGGTCAAGAAGAAGATAAATATTCCTGTTCTGGTGAGAGGGTAATGTATCTGCGCGGTGAAACATGCTGGTCGATTAGAACAATGCGTCTGTGCCTGAGAAATTAAAGGTAGAAGAGGAAATCTGCTCCTCCGCGCTAGAAAAAAGAAAGCAAAGGGTACCATAATGCACTGATATAAGCCTGAATACAAGCAATTCATCCTCCAGAATTTCTGTCAAAGTTGTGATTATTCTTGTCCATCAGCAAAAGGATATGCACTTGCACTTGAAATAACATTGAACGCCAACTTCATATAATCAACAATGAGGCTTCTGCATTTGCTACCAGTTAGCGGGGAAAAATTTCATCTGGACCAGAAAGATTTCTTCGGCTTTTTGCTGTCCAGTATGTTTCCAAGAATGGCCAAAGCATCTTGAAATTTATGAATCCTAAGGAAACCCCTTATCATGGAAACCTCGCTGTCTGAGCAGTTTGCTTTCTCCATTACCATATCAATGAGCTTTACTAAGGTATCCTCCATAGATAATGAACAAAGTCCTTCAGCCAGCATGTAGAATGATGAGAATTCAGGTAAAAATCCTTTCTCAATCATCTCGACTACAAAATCAACAGCTTCTCCAATTGGTCCTCCACCATTGCAAAGGCCACGAAATACTATCTTATACGAAATGGCATCTGGAGGATCACCCTTCTCCAACATCTCTCTATAGAGCCTCATAGCTTCATTGGCTCTCTTCCGTCTAAATAGTGCTTGAATAACAGGGTTATAAGCATGTGGGGTCAAAACCATCCCTTTCATCTGAACAGTTCTAAGGAGTCTAGTTGCAACATCTATTCTCCCTGCCTTACAAAGGCCTCCAATCAGGGTTCCGTAGGTGACAATATCTGGTTCACACCCATTTGAAGTCATGGTTTGGACAATATCTGCCGCCTTTTTAATATCCCCAGCCCTGCAAAAGTATGTAAGCAGAGAATTGTACGTGAACTTGTCAGGCTTCAATCCGTCCATTAGCATCTGGTCCATGAGCTGAGCAGCCTCCTCCAGCCTCCTGCTCTTGCAGAGACCATCAATGAGGGTGTTATAGGTCACTGAATTTCTAGAAACCCCTTGAATTTCCATCTCATCAAAGATTTCCTCTGCATCTTGAATCCTCCTGTTTTTGCAGAATCCATCAATCAAAGTATTATAAGTAATAACATTCCGAGCGCAGCCACTTGACTCCATTTCTTTAAGCAGGCTTAAAGCTTCTTCTAGTTTCCCTTTACAGCACAAGCTATCAATCAACATATTGTAGGTAAATTCATCAGGTTGGCACCCTTTGTTCTTCATCTCCTCAAACAGTTCCATAGCAATACTATGATTTCTTGTCAGGCACAGACCTTGTATCAAAGAATTAAAGGTGCAAACATCAGGCAAAATTCCCTTACTTGTTAGTACAGAAGCAAGTTGAGTGGCTTCTTCAACTTGGTTCTCCTTACACAAGGTGCTAATCAAGGTATTATACGTAACAGTGTTTGGCGAACAATCCCTCGATATCATTTGGTTTAAAATTTCCACTGCCTCCTCAATCTCGCCAATTTTACACAATCCGGAAATCAAAGAGTTGTATGTAAATATATCTGGATCAAACCCTTCTTGAAGCATCGCATCCATGATCTCCAAAGCATGCTTAACATAACCTGCCTTGCACAAACCATTCACCAGTGTATTGAAAGTGAATTGATCTGGATAAAACCCTTCATTCGTCATTATCTGTATAAAATCCAACGCCTCCTCAATCCTACCTTCCTTACAAAACCCATGTACCAAAACGTTCACAGTCACATTAGTAACCTTTTGTCTGGCTTCCACCATTTGTTCTCTAATCCTCAATGCACCATCCAAATTACCTTCATCAATAAACCCTTGCATTATCGTGGTAAACGTTTTCTCATCAGGGCTTAATCCATGACTAGGCATTTCTTCCATCATTAAAATGGCAGGCCTAATTTGATGTGCATTACATAAAGCCTTAATTAAAATGTTAAAGGTTGAAACATCAGGCTTAACCCCTCTACTAACCATTCCATTATGAGCAGCTTCTACTAACTTTAACTTATTCCCATCCACTAGAACATTCAAAAGGAAATTATAAAAATGGGTGTCGGGTTTTAAACCAAACTCACTCTCCATCAACTCAACAACGTCAAGGATTTCATCGTCCAAATCAAAATCGGCATAAATTTCGACAAGAATCAGGAATGTACCTCTACGAAGTTCACAGCCAGAGAGCTTCATTTGTTGTAGAATATGCTTCATAGAATCAAAGGAGCCGTGTTTTCCAAGCTTGGTGAGGAGTTCTTCGTAGATGGATAAGTTTGGGGTGAAATTGGGCTGCCTTGAGGCCCAATCGAATAAGCGAAGAGCAGAGGATTCATCGTTTTGGCGGCGGAGGGTGTCGATGAGTTGAGTGGGAGTGAAATTGTGGGAGAGAGGAAACTGGGTTTGGTTTTGTTGAGTGGATGAGAAGGAGATGGAGAAATGCGAAGTGGCTTTTTGGAAGAAAGGGGGGGATGAAGAGTAAGACCAAGGGTAGCATTTGAAACATGTAGAGGAAGACATTTTTCCTTTTATGTGTTTCTAGGGAGAGAGCGCTTCAGCTCATGAGGAAGACGAGAGACAATTGCGGTCGTTTCTTCTGGTGTGTCTGCCAAAGCAATCCATAAAGCAAAGTGAGGGAGGAAACAGTAACGACGCCGTTTGGGGAAGATTAAATATTTTTTTCTGGTCTCTAGAATCTGGCCCAATTCCAAAATGTTGACCCCATTATATTGGCTTTTCTCTTTGTTTTTGCTTTATGGTCTCCGAAATCCGGCCTAGAAATTAAACCATTGGCCCATGGACTAAATATACCCTGCTTGGTGTTGGGGTCCATCGTAAATTTTAGCTTCAACAACAAAGCATTCCTCCTTTGCACTATAGTAGTGGGTTAGTGTAGACGTACCAACGAGTCACTTTACTTGTGAGCTACTCCAATTCATTTTGTTCATAGTAAAATTAAGTTAAAGTTACTCAAATAAAGAGTCAGAACCAAATTAAAGCTTTATAACACTCAATTCAAATAGTTTTTACTACAAGTAATTAGGGATAACAATAAGTACCCTATTGCAAGATACTCAGCCGATTATATAGAGTTAGAGTATTTTATAATTGGATTCGAGTAGGATTCAAATAGTGATTTTATTACCCGTATCTAGTTCGGATACTCAATACTCGAACTCGATTATATTTTTCTTAATTTATGTAATTAAATATAAATTTATATTATTAATTAAATTAATTCATGAAACTATTATTATTAATTAATTTATAATATCTTTTAATACATATATTATATATATTATATTAATTTATAAAAAATATAATTATTATATCCATACTTTTAGTGTATATATTTTAAATGTATAAATATATTTACTTTCTATTTTATATTAACGTTACAAAAATTATAACTTATAAAATTAGTAATTATAATATATATACCATTATTTATATAAATTTATAAAAATATATACTTAAAAAAGTTATAAGATTATAATAATTTTTGAAACCTAGTTATTTTTTTATTTTTTAAATTTATATAATTAATAACAAACTCATTTAGTTAATTAATCTTGTAATGTTGTTTAAGCTGTTATTTGAATATTTATTTTTAGTTATTTAAATTGATATTTGATATATTTATTTTTAATTATTTAAATTTAAATTTTATTATTTATATATTTTTATATATTTAATTATTAATAAAAATATATAAAATAAAAATAAAAATATTATTATATATGAATACGAATACAAATTTTTGTTTTGATGATTAAATATTCATAAAGAGCATTTTAATATTTTTTTTACGCACTCAAGTTTTTAAATAAGTTTAGATAATTATCAAATAATAAATATATATTAAGGTTCAAATTAAAATAATAAATTTTAAAAATATTTAAATAATTATAACATTTGAGTATTATATTTACTAATTAGATTTAGATACATCAAAATCAATGAGTACCTTCATCGTTGGCATCCCCACAAATAACGAGCTCTAGTCTTGAATTTTTATAATTGAGTCGAGCACGACCTTGTTTATTTTAGTTGAGTTGACACTATAGAAGCTAAGCTCGGCTCAATCACATCCGGCCCTAGGCTTAGGCAGTTAGGCAAGTGGTCATGCTGGCAGGTTTTGCAGTAAGATACGCATGATTCTGGAAAGAATTTAAAGGCCCAGGCATGGATTATGTAAACAGTCCCACTAAACGTCCATAGATGAATATTGGGAAAATGTAGTTCTTACTTAAAAAGAACAAACATAATAAAGCAATCGTTAGCCCTGTTTCCACCAAATTAAGCAGCCCATAAGTCTAAACCTCGAGGAGATCCAAAACTAACTTCACCCAAGTCTCTCATGATGCACCAGGGATAAATATCAAACATTACCGTATCACTATCCTTTTAAAAGTTTTACGCGATTCATAATACTTTCTGTCTTCATTCCAAAACCCGGGGTCCTATCACAACATTAGACCAAAATAGAATCATTTTGCCACGGTCAGGTTTACCCTGAGGACTAAAAGCAACTAAACAGATATCGACAGCAATCCTTTACCTAGGTTCACAACCAAACAACCGACACTCAACAAGTCAAACGAGAGAAATAGTTGAACGTGATAACCATCATTACTAAAGAACAAGTAGCATTGGCCAACTGTCTAAAAAACAGCCAAAAGTTGTTGGTAAAGATCTGTAGACAAATTACCTTTATATGCCAAGCCTCCTCAGCCACGTCAATTCACAAATTCAGTCTACCAATAAGCAAGAACATGGATTTAGTTCCATCAGGATCCAAGAAGTTTGATAGAGTAAAATGGAGAACTTGTACAAAATGTGTTTGCAAGAACCATAATCGGTTCTCCGAACACATCAATCTAGAGTCATACAGAACGGCAAAAATTCAGTGACTCAGAAGCCATGAAAGCATGCCCTTTGAACACTCCAAAATAAATTGACGGGGGTCAATATTCCAAAAAACTTGAAAATGAACTAAAGGTGTTGTCTAACCCCTCACAAACAGTTACATATTAGCTTGAAGAGATAAGACTACACAATGGCACTCAACACATAAGTTCTATAGATAACAAATCACATATACCCGAAAGCACAGGTTTATCTTCGAGACTAATAAAAGCCTATGGCAATGCTTGGAAATTTGTGTCATAATTATCCAAGTTCACCATTCCACAACCTATAAACATTTCACTCAAGTAAAAGACAAATGGAGGAAGCCCCCATTGCAAGGCCTAAAAGCTCCATACTCAGCTAGCACGGCTTTTGATAACATCAAGACCCATCTCAGTTGGATCTGTTGCTTGCAATTCCACCTGAATTCCATCCAGTTCTCTCTTGAATCTGTCTTTGGAGCTAGCATATATCATCTTACTCCTCACCCTTGATGTATCAGGAGACCTTAACAGGACAACAATGTAATAAGTACAAAGGGCAACAACAAAAATACCAGGCAGTAAAGACAGTTCAGAAGATCAAGAAACTTGCAGTACCATGCAATGAAAAAAATCCTGCTCTTTTGGACATTCTCTGGCGTTAGAAAATCAAAATCATACACAGCATATCGACATTCATCAGCAGGAAGACTTTTAGCAAAATCCTCATAGCTCTGGGCTGGGTCACCAAGCTTCTCAACAATAACTTGCTTCTGCTTCTCCTCAATTTTGAAAACAATGAAGCGGTAGGTCCTTTTTGCCTTAAGCTCCAAAAACTTCAACTTGCACTCATCGTGCACAGCCATTCCTGATGCTGCATTGGCCTGAGAATAAGACAACATCACATGACAAACATCAAATATCTGAGGCAATTTCAATGTTTCATTATATCAATTGGATCCACCTGCAACATCAACATTTCTCCTAAAAGGGATAAAAAGAAGAAAAATCGAAATGAAACCATCACAAAATAGTCTCTCTCTCCCTCAATCAGCTTAATTTGGCCCTAACAAAGTGGAGAACAACAACACAGAACAACAATGCGCACTCAATAACCTTAACACTAGATTCTAACTCGATCTATTTCAGCTGCCTCCTATGTTGGCAAAACACGGGGTGGCAACAACATCGCTTTAGGATACAGAAGCATATTGGGCTCACTCTTACATTGTTTTGAGAACAACCTAATTAAAATAAATAAAACAGCTGTTTAGGCTCAGCCGTGGAGTGTCAAAGTTTATTGCTCCCCACCATAGGTTTCTGTTTGGACAAACAACATTTTAATCGTGGATTACAAAGACCAAGATTTCCTAGACTTTTTTGTTTGTTTTTCCTGTAATTGGGAAAAAAAATAATAGGGGAATGGAGGCAGAAATAACAACAAACAAAAATCACAAGGCTCCAAATTAAATGCGCAGACAGATTGAATCAACATATTAATTATTAAACAATTTTAAAATCAGTAGCCAAGAAACAAAAATAATTGAAAATCATATGACCGTAAAACAGATATCAAAACATATTAGATTAACTGAAAATCCAGCAGAATCCAGTGGCTATATACGCTGGGAGCTAGATCAGTGACAGTTCCATTTCAGCACAAATTAAGTAAAGCTAATTCCATAGAAATAAAATCAAATCATTAAAATCCACAGCATCAAACCACAAACTGCAGATTATAATCCTAAGATCTAGAAACTCAAAAAAAAAACTAAAGAAATAACAGATAAAATCAGTCGAGTCGATGCAGGAAAATTCCACAAATATTGCAAGCATCAAAGCTTCAATAAAGAGATAATCAACCTATCAAACAACATATTTAGTAAAGAAAAATCAACAAAAAGTGACGATCCACTAGGATTCTAAGAAATTAGACAATAAAATCAAGAGATTATTTCAAGGAGAAATTATTTAAAACCAAAACGACGCAGCAGAAACAGTACCATCTCTTTTCGGTTTGTTTGGAAACGAGGATAGGGGATCGCGATCGACGGAGGAAGAAGAGGAGGAGAAAATGTAGAGAGAAAGAAAGCTCCTCCGATGACGAGGGGGAAGGAAGGGGATGTTAAAAGGTCCTTTTATTTCGGTGACTCTGCCCAGCGGAGAATTAATATCCTGGTTTTATTGTATGCTAAGTTAGCCTACGAAACATTCTGCATCTAATTGGGTGCTGCCACGTCGGGTAACGTCTATACTGGCCACGTTTTGTTTGGTTTTGTGTCGTGATCATGCTTAAGCACTATATACCACGGGCTGCGCTTGAGCTGTGCAAATTGGCGGCTTCGTTTCACTAGGCTGATTTCGCGGCTTCCTCTTTTTTTATGGTCTGAAATAAATTTTATTTCTCATTGCTTATTTTATATATCATAATAATCATTTGATAAAAATTGATAATAAAAAATACTTTTTATGTCTAAAATTTGTTTCTGAATAAGTTATTTATTGATTAAAAAAAAGGTACAGATGAGTTAAATTAAAAATAAAAATTGTTAATTGTATTCATATGATCTTTCGATAAAATATTTATAAGATGAAATATTGAAATTATAATAAATTACTATTATTTGTTATTAATTTGGAGATAACTTGAAATTTCATAATTAATAAACAATTTAAACTTAATACTAATCAATGTTGTTTGATAAATTGAAAATTTTGACACTAAAAGAATCAAGTATTGAATTTTCAGTTTTAAAAATTTTAAATCAACTTGTGATATTAAAATTATTTGATATGATACTAAAAATTAAATATTGGTTAAACTTTTAAACGTATTTTGGATTATTAAAAGTTAATAAGAAAACTAATAAATGGTTAAAATAAAGAAAATAAAGTTTAGACATAGTATTTGAAAAAGTCTCTAAATTATTTAAAAAAATTTAAATAACTTTTTATTCTTATATTATATTTAATTAAACTTTTTTTATTTAAATTTAAATAAATATTTATTATTATTTGTTATTTTATACTCATGTGATGTTTATATAACATTAATAAAGATAATGAAAAATGTCACATGAACATATCATCATATGACATCATCATTCATTATAATATGTTAATATTTAAATGTTAACATCATGTGATATATAATCATAAGTGATATTTTGAGTAAGTCAAAATAAAATATAATAACTTATTTTATTTAAAATATAAAAATAAAAATTTATTTAACTCAAAATAAAAGTAGAAGAGTTTAATTGTATATAATAAAAGAATAAGAAATTATTTAAAATTTTTAAATAATTTAAAAAGTTTTTAGATATTATATCTAAAATTTAATATAATTAAATAAAATTAACTAAATGCATTAAGTAATTGAAAGTTACAAAAAATCTTTAGTAGTCTTATATGGAAAATATTTGATTAAATAACTTTGAAAATTAAATTTTCAAACACATTATTAAATTTTTTTAAATGATTTATCAAACAAATCTCAAATGAATAAGTTGCAACATTCATAAAAAAAATGTTTTCAATATTAATCAAACAAAAATTCTAACAAAGTCTAGTCTTTTTATCTCAAATAAAGCATTGAAAGCTTCTACTGATAGAAGGAAAATAAAATTAATATTATTAAATTGTGTATATTCAATTAACTTGTAGTCGTGAAGGTTTGGCTTTTGTTCTGAGCCAAGCTGCGATGGTTGAATATTATTAAGGTGTTCAACTAATAATGGCAACCGCTGTATCTTACTATCAAGCAAGCGCAAACCCTTCTCTCTAAGCCTATGTGGAAATCGTCACGAACACCTGGGTCGGGTCCACCGCTCCACTCCCATTGAAAGATTCTCTCCCTCTCCCCTTTCTCTGCGTCAATCCAACGCTACCTCCTCTCTTCTTACCATATTTTCTTTATTTGAAATTTCTTCATAATTGGCAACCAAATTCTGCTCTTTTCCACGCGTTCTCTTCCTTTTTCCTTTCTGCTCAAAAGACAAAATAGTAAGCATTTTATTACTAAAACACCTAATTATTATTATTATTATTATTATTATTGTTATTGTTATTATGAATGAATATATAATTTTTCCCTTTTTTGTAGATTTTTATAAAAATTGTGATAAATAAATCTCACAAAAAAATATTTTTTATTTATTATTAATTAGAGATAATTTAAAAATTTAAAGATAATAAAAGTGTCTTTAAGACAAAATAAAAGTAGTTAAGGCAAGTCGCCTTTGTTTACCCAAATATAGGAAAGAATAGCTGGAAAATTAGGTGCACAAGTTGGTACAAAAGGCAGGTTATTTACTTTTTTGATAAAAAGTTTAGTCCTCGGAAATCAAAAGTAGGCAAAGCTGGGACAAGACAACGGAGGGCTTAAAATTGTCGAGCATTTTAAAAAGGTTTTGTAGATTGCATCAGCACCAGACACGGGGTCGGGAGTTCCCTTTGCCATAAACAGGGCTAAGGCACATGTCACATGACATGCACATGGCAATTACATTGTACCAAAGGAGGCATTGGAATTGAAAATTTCATCAGTCAGATAAATTAAGCATTAGTTGAGAATTAAAATTCTTCTTCTTCATTAAAATAGTTAATTAATTAAAAAGTTAATAATAATGCAGCAAACAATTTCGAGGTTGAATTATCAACCTATTTAAAAACTCGAATGTATAAGTAAACTATAAAAATAAGATCGATCTTTGATTTATTAAATTTTGATCGATCGATTTATTTATGATCGTAAAGTAATGGTTTTAATATTGTATTTAACATATTGACAAATCGATGGAAACTAGATTTAATAATGGTAACGATATTTATGTAATCGATCACGTACTTACTGTAATGGGTATATTTTTTTAATCAAATATAAGAAAGAAAAACTAAATAAAAATTAAACTTCGAATCGAGGAGATTAGGATAGAGAATGATATTTTTCCATTGTAACCACATCAAAATGGTTGATTTTAACATGAATATATGAAACTTATGAACAAGTTTCTTCTTTCAATGTAGTACAACGGATCAACATAACACAAAAAACAAAAACAAAGCCAAACGACTACCCGATCATATACTTAATTTATTCTTATAGCATGATTCAACTTGCAGCATTTTTGGGTTTCTTGTCGTCTTTGGCTACATTTTCCTTGGTCTCCGCCGGTGCCGGGGATGCAGTCGGAGGAGGAGGAGGAGGTAGGGCACGAGCAGGCAGGGAAGGTGGCGCTGTGTTGGTGGGTGGTGCAGGAAGCATATTAGCTGTTGCATTGTCAGATAAGGGAGTTGACAGGTCCTCGAAGGACAGGAAAACGCTTTGCGATGGCCTCCTTTGGTGGCGGTTGGGTCTCTGAGACATGTTTCTCTCAGGCAAAAGACCAAGCAGAAAGATTATGGAAGTTAGGAATGGGAAGAAGAGAGAAATAGAACTTTGACTTCTCATTGCTACACCCTTACTAATACTTTGATTCGTTATATAAAGAGGAGGTGCTAGTAAGTTAGGAATCGTATGGGATCTATATATGGCAAAATTACCTTGCATCACTACAATGCCAAATTTTGATTCTAACAAATAATTACTTACCAAAAATTTCACACCAACCAACAAATGATATAAACACATGTTGTTATTTATATTAATTTTATGTCACATAGATACTTAAAAAAAATTAAATAAATTTTTATTTTTTTATTATATTCAATCAAACTCGATTAAATTTTTTATAACTCATGGTTAATTAATTATTATTAATTAAAATGTCAGTTATTATTTCATGTTGTGGTGGACCCAATGTCAATTATTATTTCATGCAGCGGTGGACCCAAAAGTTTATGCGGATCTCAGATTTTGTGTGGATCCATAATTTTGCGTGAACTTAAAAATTTACATAAGAAATAATTAAATGGTAATCATGTAAAATTATGGATCTATATATATATATATATATATTAAATTATGTATATAAAATAATAATTAAGAGATGACGATTGTCATTCCCGTCACCACTTTCGATCCGTCTTTGATTTTAGTATTGAGAAAAAAGAAATCATAAAAATATCATTAAAAAATTTAAAATCATAAAAAATATAAATGAAGGTTACCCATCTTATTATGTACATATATGCAAAAGGGAAAATGAATTAATTGTCATGCACTTCGAATTTATTGAGAAGTAACAACATAAAGTAACGAGGTCTTGGGTTGGTATTGGTTTGTCTTTTGGGCATAAATATTTACTAAGTGCCAAAGGTAGATGCATGTATTCATGTAGAATTTAATGTACTTGTTCAACATAATTTTAGATTCTTCATTTTAATGAGCAAATCTTTCCCATATGCAGTGCACCTGACCCAAAATTTAAAGTGTTAAAATCCTTTAAGAACAGTGAAGGTTCTGCTAATCTGCCCCAAAAGCATCTCTTCTGTTAACAAATTTTTTTAAGACAAAAAAAAAAAAAAAACAGTTTCAAAGCATCTCTCGGTGATTGTTGGATATTTCTCCCATGCATTGAATGAAGGATTTATCGTATACAACTGAATGGCTCTCTTCTCTTTTGTAAATGGAATTTCGTAGGTGGATCAAATATTTATTTAAAAATGATAACCAATAAGATATATGTAAATTATGAAGCATAAAAATATGAATTTAATTAAAATTAAATTATTACTATCTTATTGAATTTGATTAAAAATTAATGCGTAATATATGAATCGTGTTCAAACTCAATTATTAGTACATATAAAACTTTGAACTCGACTACTTAATAATATAAAAATTACGTAGAAAAGCAAAACCACAAGACCACAAACTACAATGGAATTTCACCAAAAAACAATACTTAATGTATGGATCATATCAAAACTCGATTATTAATACATGCAAGACTTTAAACTCGACTATTCAATAATATAAGATATTAGTAAATTTCGAGATATCTGAATATGAACTTAACTAAAATTAAAGTATTCATATCCTATTGGAGCTTGAGTAAAATTTAAATACCTAATACATGAATCATATCCATGCTCGATTATTAATACATGTAAAATCTTAAACTTGACTATTTAATGATATAAGTTATTTGTAAATTTTAAGCTCTCCCAATATGAACTTAACTAAAATTAAATTATTCATATTTTATTGGAACTTCACTAAAAATTAATACCTAATATATGAATCATATCCAAACTCGATTACTTATACTTGTAAAACCTTGAACTCGGCTATTTAATAATAAAATATATCCAAATATGAACTTAATTAAAAATAAATTATTCATATCTTATTGGAACTTCATTAACAATTAATACCTACTTTATGAATCATATTAAAGCTTGATTACCAATACATGTAAAACCTTGAACCCGACTATTTAATAATATAAGGTATTCATATATGAACTTAATTAAAATTAAATTATTCATATCTTATCAGAGGTTGATTAAAAATTAATACTTAATATACGAATCATATTAAAATTTGATTAGTAATACATGTAAAATTTTGAACTCGACTATATAAGAATATAAAATATTTATAAATTTTGAAATATGTGAATATGAACTTAATTAAAAATAAATTATTCATATCTTTAGGAACTTGAGTAAAAAGTAATACCTAATATATGAACCATATCTAAACTGGAATATTAATGCATGTAAAATTTTCAACTCAATTATTTAAGTATAAATAATATGGGTACGAGACTATTATTAAATTTGGCTCGGAGCTAAGTCTGGAATAAAAAATAATTTAGAATGTACAGTAACAATGAAAATTAAAATAATAAATTAAAGTTAAAAATCATATTTAAAATAATTAATATAATTTAATAAATATTTTGTTTAATTATAAATAATTTATAAATAGTCATCAAAAGCCCAAAAGCAAAATTTGGCAAATCCACTTGAGCAGAAAAAGTCCCCGAAAACAAGAATGGACTTCGTCCAGGCCGAGCAGTGATCGTGATTAAAACGTAAAACCTTCTGCCACCAATAACAATTGCTAGTGTGTGAAGGCTGTTAACTTTTTAATTATAAAATCTCAGCACACGTGTCCTGTAAATGACACTTCATCCAAATGTTGTCTCGGGTGTCCACGGCAGTCCCCACAGTTAACCACGTGGTGGTTTCTCATAGGTTCTTTTATCCTCAGGTCCCACCAGAAAACCACTCGTCTTCTAGTTGTTTCCAAATATCGTCAGCAACATTTTCAATTTTTTTCTTTTTTTTTTTTTCCTCTATCTCTATCTTCTTTCTTTCTTGTGAAAAGTTAAATCTCGACCGCGAACCAAGCTTTTTCACCTTCTGGTTTCTTGCCGCCCTCCACGTTCCCTCTACAATCTCTCTCTTTTTTTTTTTTCCACATAAAACAAAAAAGCAAAAACCCTAACCCAAATCTTTCGCGCTTATTTTTAACCCAAACTGAATAATTTTTTTCTTTCTTTCTCTCTTTCTTTTCTTTTAACCTTCCACGAATCTCAGATCCGCGAGATTTCAAATCTGGCTTTTCAATCCTTGTGCATGCTGTTTTCATCGATTTATGTAGATTTTCGTTGATTCTTGGATTTGTATAGGTAGTGTGTTCGGTTAAATCTGCATTTGGCGAAGTTATATTTCATATTCAAATGGCGGTTAAGCGGTTATTGAATTGATATAGTCTTCGTTTGTTTTGCAGTTAGGTTTTTTTTT